ATTACTGCCAACCCTTACCACGTAATTGTATTAAATAAAGCATACTTTCCACGTTGTGTTCAAATGGTTAATATAGTCAACCATTTTAAAGGACACGGCGTCCACATTGAGAGGAATGTAGTGCCGATCCGTTCCTTCAATGAGTCCAACCAAACAAACCGACAATAGAGTCGTTAAACACAATAATTTCATTTTTAATGAAGTTCTAGTTTAAAAGCAATAATATATTAATGCAATTGTATTATAAATAATAATTAAAAATCTTACTTCTTATAGTTAAACGCTATTGTTTGGGTGTTTATAGTTTAATAAATTTATCGATTGAAATATACTATACTGTATTCAATAGTTTAAATTAATTAAACATTTGAAAAGCACTGAAGAGCTGTTACTAATGATATGATCGCTATTTTGTTCACTACTATTGGATGTTATTTAAGACGTATTCACTTCAGATGTCAATTACTTTTGAATCTTTAATAATCAATTGAATCATTATTTTAGTTATCAGTCAAAGTTTGGGCACTTTTACGATTGTGTTGATGTTTAACATTATTGTTTGTTTTAGTTTCAAATAATGACAATTACTAAATATACTTTGTATGTAAGTTACTTATTTGTTCAAACACTACTATACTAATAGACAAAGAAGAACTAAATGCAATTTTAATCTTTTATATTATTTTCTATTTTAATTCATTCATTCATTAATTAGTTTCGGTTTACACTTTCATAGCTTTTTAAATAAAAGTAATGACTGAATAAATATGTACAACAAAAGTAACATAATTATTGCAAATAATTAAACTAATAAAGAAAAGAAAATACTACCGGTATATTAAATATTTGAAAATTAATAGACATTTCAATTCTCTCTTACTGGAAATAAGTTTACATTTAAATGATCACAGATTATAAATTATGAATCATGACTCATGATCCTATGTTTGATTGTTTTGTAATTTATATAATAACCAAATAAAATACGGTATATGTTATTAATTAAATTCATCTGAATGATGAAAAATTTTGATTTAAATCATTTATTGTACAAAATCATGTAATTTCTTTATAATATTACTTCGTCTCTGTAAATTGGGATATAATTAAATTTAATTTAATTAAATTTACATAAACTATAATATTATCAATATAAAAATGTAGATATAAAAATACAATATTTTTGAAAGGTCAAATAGTTTTATTATAATTTTTCTTTAATACAATAGTATTTATTTTAAAACTCAAATAATTGGGATTTTATTTTTTAAAGATTATAAATTTGATGTACTTTTTTCATAAAGACATCGATTCTCTGAGCGGACAGTTCTTGACTCCAAACTCCTTTCTCTTTAAAATGCGATCCAATAATAACTGCGTTAACCTTTGATTTAATACAATCTTCAATATTTGTATGATTAACACCCGAACCAATTATAATAGGTATCCCTATATTTGAATGGTTAATATCGTTAACATCTTTCAAGTCAGCCAAATGTCCAGTTCTTAATCCGGTTATAATCACAGCATCTGATAAGAAAAATTGTGCCGCTTTTGCCATTTCAACGACATTCACGTCATCGGTAATAGTATGGGAGCAGTGCTTCTTCTTGATATCTGTTAATATCAATACATTGTTTGCATTCAATTGCTTTCTATNAGATATGGGCTTAAAAGTTGGCCAAACTTTTGGTATTTGTGGTGATAATAGCTATGAATATATGGTTTGTTTTATTTCAGGTAAATTTATAAATAAGTATTTAATAAATGTACCAAATCTAACACTAACTAATAATATTGATTGTATAATGTCTATAAAATTAGGCATATTTATTGGCGGTATAGCTGTGCCCATGAGAGGAATCGATACAATTGGTATTTATTTGCACTTAATTTTAAGCCATTTTGAAATAAACTTAATAACTATTTTAAGAGGAATTTCAAAGAACACAAACAGAGAGGGAAATAACATTATTTGGTGTGAGTGCTCACAAATTACATCAATTAAGAAATTGTCATTTCTATTCAAATATTGTAAGATTGCTCAGACATATAAACCAATTTTGTTTTTATAAATTCAAAATAATTTAATAAATATAATAATTATAATATTTAGAGCGGAATAGTTTTTGGCGACAATAGTATTAAAGAAAGCGAAACACATTTTTATATTTACGAAAAACAAATTTCTAAAACACATGCCATAAGTGAACAACAAATATATTCTCCTAAAGATGTTAAGGAAGATATTTGTTTGTTATTAGAGTCGAGCGGCACTACAGGTCAGTCTGTTTTTTATTATAAAAATCAATTTCAGACAAAAGTTTGGAAAGTTTTCAATTTTGTAGTCTTTTTTCATTCTTTAGCATATGTTGCCATAAATTGAATTACAGTTAATATTGAAAACAAATTGAATAAATTGTTTGCAGGTCTACCAAAAGGTTGTTTGTTTTCACATTCCAATTTGGTTTCACTTTTGATTATCGGTTCACTGCCTCAGGTCTACAATAGAAATAGCGATGATATAGTGTCCGGTCATTCCTATTCGGCTCATATATCAGGAGTTAATCAACTCCTGATGTCAATCAATAATGGCTCTCAACTTGTATTACACCCTAAATTCAATTTGAGTACATTTTATGAAGCAATCGAAAGACATAAAATAACCGCACTCTCGGCTCCGGCATCTGTTTTCATGTCATTACTGAAAAGCGGCACTCATTTTGATATCAGTTCACTAAAGAAAGTGATTTGTGGCGGCGCTCCACTGCCCAGAGGGTGTACCCAACAAATTGTTGCCAAATACCCTCATTTTGAAGACTTTCGACAAGCGTATGGTATGACAGAAATGACTATTATTATCGCTTATGGAGATTATGGGTCACGTAATTACGAAAGTGTTGGTCAGCCCACACCTGGCAATCAAATTAAAGTAATTGATTGTATTTCAGGGCATTTACTTCCAGCTAATTGTATGGGAGAGATATGTGTGACCGGACCCACACTTTTCAAAGGTTATATTAATATTAAAATTATAAATTCTATCACTTCTGAAATTCAATTTTGATAAAGAAATGAAAATAACTTACGATTATATTTATTGATTGCTTCCAAAGGTTATCACAATAATATTGAGGCGACAAATGAGACCATAGACTGCGATAATTTTTTACATACCGGAGATCTGGGATATTATGACCAAAACGATAACCTCTTTATTTTGGACAGAATTAAATTATTGCTCAAAACGGATGGAATGCAAGTCTCGCCCACAGAATTAGAAACCATTTTTCTGACTCATATCGCTGTACAAGAAGTGGCAGTAATCGGTAAACCCGATGAAATATCCGGTCAATTGCCCACAGCTTTTGTTGTCATTAAAGATCAATATAAACATGATTTTGATTGCAATCAAATCCTAGAATTTGTTAATTGTATGAAAACCTTATCCTATATTTTCCATTATCTGCTGTTATTTAAAATACATTTTATTCATAACTTTAGCACGAATTACACCACTTAAGAGGATTAGAGGAGGAATTCATGTCATTGAAGACATTCCCAAAAATAAAAACGGAAAAACAGATCGAAATAAATTGATGCATATTTTAATGTCTTATTAAACTCTATTTATCAGTATAGACAATTTGTATCTATGTCAGTAATACTGACTCAGTATCTACGACTATTAAATCTTATATTAAAATGTACATAAAATTACAAATATTAAATTTTATTAAATTTTATTGACAACCAATGCTTTAAATTTAGCGCTATTTATTGTAAAGATAAGTATATCTTTAATATCTATTACTATCACTACTATTGTTATCGTTATGGAAATGTTTATTGTGTATTTGTTTTGCTTGAATTTAACAATTATATAAATAACAATATGAATCGTTTCGCACAAGTTTTCAAGTGTTGCGCAAGAAATCAGACGGCAATTATAGGTATGGTTCACGTGAAAGGGCTGCCAATGAGTCCATTAAATAATGGATTAAGTATTGAGCAGTTGATCGACATTTCTTGCAAAGAAGCAGAAATATACAAAAGGCATGGATTGGATGCCATTTGTGTGGAGAATATGTTTGACATCCCTTATGTCACGCGAAAGGATTCTGGACCTGAAGTGACAGCAATGATGACAAGAATTTGCTCTGAAGTAAAGAAATGTGTGCCAAATATGGCGGTCGGAGTGCAAGTGTTGGCCGGACTCAATCACGAAGCACTGGCCGTCGCCGCGGCCTCTAATCTCCAGTTCATTAGATGCGAAGCATTTATCTTCGGACACATCGCCGACGAGGGATATATGGATGGCTGCGCCGGATCTCTGTTAAGGTATAGAAAGCAATTGAATGCAAACAATGTATTGATATTAACAGATATCAAGAAGAAGCACTGCTCCCACACTATTACCACTGACGTGAATGTCGTTGAAATGGCAAAAGCGGCACAATTTTTCTTATCAGATGCTGTGATTATCACCGGATTAAGAACTGGACATTTGGCTGACTTGAAAGATGTTAACGATATTAACAATTCAAATATAGGGATACCTATTATAATTGGTTCGGGTGTTAATCATACAAATATTGAAGATTGTATTAAATCAAAGGTTAACGCAGTTATTATTGGATCGCATTTTAAAGAGAAAGGAGTTTGGAGTCAAGAACTGTCCGCTCAAAGAATCGATGTCTTTATGAAAAAAGTACATCAAATTTATCATCTTTAAGAAACAAAATCCCAATTATTTGAGTTTTAAATAAATACTATTAAAGAAAAATTATAATAAAAGTCTTTGACCTGTCGAAAATATTGTATTTTTATATTTATATTATTATATTATAATTTATGTAAATTTAATAACATTAAAGTTTCTCAATTTACAAAGACGAAGTAATATTATAAAGAAATTACATTATTTTGTACAATAAATGATTTTAATCAAAATTTGTCATCTGAATATTTAATTAATAACATATACTGTATTTTATTTGGTTATTATATAAATTACAAAACAATCAAACATAGGATTATGTCTTATAATCGGTGACCATTTAAATGTAAACTTATTTACAGGAAGAGAGAATTGAAATGTCTATTAATTTTCAAATATTTAATATACCAGTAGTATTTTCTTTTCTTTATTAGTTTACTTATTTTCAATAATTATGTTACTTTTGTTGTACATATTTATTCAGTCATTACTTTTATTTGAAAAGCTATGAAAGTGTAAACCGAACTAATTAATTAATGAATGAATTTAAATAGAAAATAATATAAAAGATTAAAATTGCATTTAAAAGAAGAAACAGATAATCATATCATCACAAACTTGTTTATTCATTGAATGTATGTTTCATATAAATCATTAACAGTAATAAACTTTGATTTTGTTTGTTATTACAATTTGTAGTTGTGTTAGCATTTAGTGCCCAAACTTTGACTGATAACTAAAATAATGATTCAATTGATTATTAAAGATTCAAAAGTAATTGACATCTGAAGTGAATACGTCTCAAATAACATCCAATAGAAGTGAACAAAATAGCGATCATATCATTAGTAACAGCTCTTCAGTGCTTTTCAAATGTTTAATTAATTTAAACTATTGAATACAGTACAGTATATTTCAATTGATAAATTCATTAAACTATAAACACCCAAACAATAGCTTTTAACTATAAGAAGTAAGATTTTTAATTATTATTTATAATACAATTGCATTAATATATTATTGCTTTTAAACTAGAACTTCATTAAAAATGAAATTATTGTGTTTAACGACTCTATTGTCGGTTTGNTCTCAAAGAGCTTCCATTCCAAGCGATTAAAGTATCACTTTTTGGTGTCCAAGAAGTGAAACCAATCACTTATGATATCATCTGTGATCTCACGCGCAATAAAGAAGATAAATATTTGTTGTCAATCTGTCAGAAAGTGGATCCAAACCTCAGCTCTAATGTTATTCGACTGTTTGTGGCCAACAATGAAACCGAAACACAATTTGTTTCTTTAAGCAAATTATTGGTTGATTTGGATTTGTGTCGATATATTGATGGCGAAGAAAGCAATGAATTGAAACTAACGATTCAGATATCACTCGAAACCGATGAGGAATGCGGTGACTATTTACAGAGCATCGAAGACAAATTAATCGACAATTTTGTTAAACAATATTGTCTGAAGACATTAAGTCTCGATGAGAACGAAGATATTGATTACGGAACTGATGGCAAGTCAAGCAATGGGACAAAAGAGTCGCGAATTACTCGAAAATTACGTCAATTGAGAGATATTCGGAAGAATAGAATCGATGATATATCGGACGATTCAGACGAAGACGACTGTCCTCTCAATGGCTTGAATGCAATTGACTTCTTAGACTATAAGCCCATTGCGACGAATGGAGACATTGCTTATTACGATCCGGAGGACGATTTGGACAAAGACGCGCCTCTTAGCGATGAGGACGACATTATCGATGAACAAGAATTGTCTTAAACACTAAATACCACTAAATCACTGCCAAATTACTGCCAAATCACTGCCTAAACAATTGATTATTTCACATATAATAGAATCTCATCACAAAATCATTGCTTACTTTTAAATTCTTTATTGTGTTTTATTTAAAGTTTAAGTTTTTATTTAACTTTATTTAAGTTTTCCACAAATGTTTTCACAATTTTCTTATTTTTGTTATTTTCCATATTCTAGTTACAGAGTAGTACATTCTAGTTATGATTACTAAGCACTTACGAGTTACAAAATGTATAATTAAATATTTTTACTGTTAATACTGTACTTTATCTCTAATGTATGATTAGAATCATTTAAAATGCAATACATTAAAAATCATTGTTCAATTCAATTAAATGTGTCACTCATTTTAGCTCAACATTTTCAATATGATGATATAAAGAGTTAGTTTTACTTTACTTAGAGATGAACATTTCAATGAAAATCCAATCCATCTCATTTAGGCTAACTTTTGAAACTTTAACCAAATATTTATTTTAAAAATGTGAAATTATCTTGTTTTTGAATTAGTTGAAATCTATTATCTGCAAACTAATTCAACAATTATCACTTGAGATCATTTGCAAAAGTATTGGTTTACTAAACATTTCAAAGTTATTAAATATTATTTTAGATTCTTGGAAATTCTTTCATATATTCTGTGAATATTTTACTTAAAGCATAAATTCTAAAATTCGATACAGTAGTAGAAAATAACGATAAGTTTACTATAAATAAAATGTTTTGAATAGTGTTTAAATCAATTATTTTTGATAATGATAATTAATTTGGCTTAAATTACAGAAATTATTGGATTTATTTAGTTAATATGTGCAATATAGATGTTGCTAATACATGTTAGTGGTTGAAAAATTAGCCTAAATATTGAGATAGACCCTAAACATTCCCTAAATATCACCCTAACATCCATATTCGCTACAACTACTAAAATCTCGAGTCAGATAACCCTTCAAATTAGCTCTCAATAATGTTCTTCGAATATCTAATTATACAAAATGCACTTTTTATTGTATTCTTTATTTTCATAGCACACCCCTCAGTAATGAGTAATTATTTTTAGTATTGTTTAGAAGGAAATACAGTGAACATCACCTAGCTGATCCAGTCGTGGTTGATATGGTCATGTCCAGTATTGTATGGAGATTCATAAAAAATTGTCAAAACGGGCGAATGGCCATATGCACCGAAGTTATGG